AAGGATGGTTTTAGATGCCTATTTAGGATTTTATCATCTTTAAAGGAAGTACAAAGTTCTGAATTTTGAATTCCCCATTGGCAATGTACTTGCTTCAGGAAGCTTGCCGTTACAATTGTATAACACACATTTCAGAGGACCCTGCACTTTTATGTGCTGGAATGACAATGGCAAAATGAATGAAAATGGCAAAAACAAGGCAAAATGTAATGTGACCATCTGCAACAACTTTACCTGTTTGAGTACTGTTGCAATCGAACAGAAGCAGTACACTTGAGAAGAAGATGACTTTTGAAAACTGGGAACAGCCTTGCAGCAGGAACTGAAGTACCTGAATTGAGAATTGAAAAAAGAAAATGTAATTTTTACATGGATTTTTTTTTCCCCACTTCTGGAGTTGAATTGCTTAGTGGAAAGTGGAAAGAGACATGTTTAAAGTTTTAAAAAGTATCCAGATACTAATCTGAAGCAACAATAAGTTTCCTTGCAGAAGTCAGTGAGGGTTTGAAGACGTCTTGAACTGTGGTGTAGTGGATGAGGTCTAGCCTGCCTGCAGGGGTAGTTAGTTATTATACAAAGCAGAGGAAGAGAGATGGTGAGAATTCCAGTCCAACACACCCTACATACACACACATTACTGTTAGAGTACTCTTGTGTGAGAAGTCAGGAAAAGGGGGTCTTTTCACGTCCCAGGCCTTACAAAATGTCAGGGAGATGTGTCTGGAGTGGATGAGACACTTTGGACATCAGTGGGTATTTTACTTCCCAGGTTCAAAAGGAATTCCGTGGTTGCAGGATTTTGGAGGTTGACTTTTTGTAAAAATCAGAAAATTATAAAAAATAATAGGGTTTTATTTTATTTCAATAAAGTTTAATACATAAGGGAGAAGATTCCTAACAAATGCTGACCATAACATCAGCGAGCAAGACATGACAGCCAAGTCATGGTGACTATCAGAGTACCATAAACCTTAAATTAAAAAATGCTCTATTTTTTTTTTCTGGCCCAATATGACTGGTACTTTTAGTAATAAAATATCCCAAAGTGAAAACTTTAAGATGGATGTGCAAAGAATAAATGACGAGTAAAACATGAAGGACCTGGAGCTGTTATGAGTTTGGTGCTCTGCTATCTGAGCAGAATGTATCTCTGAGTAAAAGTAAAAATGGCTTTTACTTGGCTCACTGAGCAACTCATTTTGTGACAGATTGGTAGCTGACTGGGTAGTGCAGTTTATTCTCCATAAGAATGTGAATTAATGTGAGATTACTCCCCCCATTAAGCATTTGCTGGTTAGCAGGCTTTTATTTAGTACCTTTTCACAGCAGAGGGAGGAAATAAATAATGACAGTAAAAAAAAACCAAAAAACCTTCTGGTAAAAACCCAAAAATTAAAACTCCAGTGGATGCTAAGGGACTAATTTTAAAAATATACAGTAGGTATATTCATCAGTGTTCTTTTAGCATTTTAAATTCATCTATTGTCTTAACATTCATATTTAATAAGTTTTTTCCCTAATTTATTTTAAATCTGTAAAGTTTCTAAATGCATCTGTCCTGACAGTGTGTTGGAGTGGGGAAGTACATGTGAAAGCCATTCTCTCTGTGAACAGAAAATATTCACAATTCAAAATATGAAGTGTCATAATTGTGCTATAGCAAGGGCTGCACTCAGCCTGTCATGAGTTAATGTCAAAGCCATTTTTGTAGCCACTATTTGAGAGAGAAGACATCTTAATTAAACTCTGCCTTTGTTGAGGGCATCAAAAAAGCTACTGACAGAGTTTCATGCTAACTGCAATCATGCATCCTGCCACCACCACTGACAAGGAAAGAAAGCAGGAAAAGTGGGCTGCAAGTGGCTGCTGTCACACAGATGTTGTAAAAGGGAGGCTTGAGGAGCTGTTGCTTTGTCCATTCAATACGGCTTTGAATTTTAAGAGACAACCTCTAATAATGACAAGTCAGAATAATTTTTCCCAATGTAGGGCATTGCTGACATGTCATGCTGAACTGTTCAACCTCAGAAGTCAAGGCGCAAAAGAAAATTGATAAAAATCGTTAGGAGATGTTAAACTGTTCCATAATTTTTGATGCATGGTGAAGTTTTATTCTCTTTTTTAGTTTCATTTCCCCCAAAATCAAGGTCTTTAAACTTAAATAGAAATTATCTTGTTCACAAAATAACCTCACTGTGGCAGCTAAGACTTAAAGAGAGCTAGTAGCAAAATTTCTATGATAAAGTCATGAGAGCCAGGAGCTCTTTGGTGAGGTTATCTGCTCTCATCCTTTTTCTGGTTTATTTTTTTGCTGTATTTTCTTGCCATTATATCTTTCTTACATGTGGGAAGATAAAAGCGAGTGTGGGGGGTAAAGGGTAAAAATAAATGCTGGTCTGTCTGTCTTTGTCACTGTGGTGAGAGTTAAGAAAAGGTGACACACCCAGTACACCTGTGGACAGGCAACACCAGTCTGCTGCTGTTGTTTCTGGGCATTGCTGCTCACTCCTGCTGTCTAGCAGACAGAAAAAAAAAAAAAATAAAAGTATGGTCAACAAGGATTTGAGAAACTCATTTGTAAATCTTCTGAAGTTAAGACTATTCCTGTAAAATTATTAAGAGGCAAAGGGTAGATTAATGCTACAGAAATACAGGGGTTGGCAGAATTCTCTTCTCTGCTTGTTGCTCAAGTGTCTCAAAAAGGACCAGAAAGAGTAATTTATCTTTTTGCAAGGAGAAGAGATAAACTTCTTGCCTGAGAGGATTGTCTGCTTCATCTTGGAGATATTTACCTTGAAGCTGTAAGGAGTGGTCTTTGTGATTATTGCTTATTATACTTGCATCAAGATTGATGTGTCATTCCACTTTCATTCAGGTATAATTTTGGATAGATGGTAAAGTAGGGTTAATTTTAAATAATGTTTTTGATGAAAACAGATGAATTAGTATTAGAAAGTATATTAATTTGCCAATTTAGAAAAATGAATAGAATGAGAATAAAGAACAACTTTGAAAGTGACTCCTAAGTTTGACATTTTTCCCTTGAAGCAGTAGATGTAATAAGCTGGTGACAGTGAGTTGACTGTATGTTGCCTTCCTATGAAACTCCTTTGCACTAGAAAATGTTGATAAAAAATAATCTGTTCATTATTCCTTGGGTATTGAAAGTGTTTTTCAAAATGCTTATACTTTTCCTGTAAATAATTTTTAAAGATCTAGTTTTAATAATATTTTTATTATACTTTTATTTAGTCCTTAAAGATTCCTTTTTAATGAGTGTTGAGCAAGCATGTGTAGAATTGTCAATTTGAAGTACACATTGAAAGCATACATTGGCAGGAATAGTGCCTCTGTAAAACGAACTCACTTTTCATTTTTAAATTATGAAAATACTTTTGAATCACCGGATGAAGTTGATGGAGACAGTACATTCAAATGAATTACAGCATAACATGTTTAAAATTTTAAAAAATATTTGTTTCTGAGTATTCATATATAAAACCAAACTTCTGATAATGTAAAATTAACAGGAAGCAAAATTTTCAGTTAAAATAAATTTTTAAAATTTAAGTTGTAATATGCTTATATGATCTTTGATTGTCCATGTTATTTATTTCCATGCCTCAGAAATCTTACAGTGTTACTATTTATAGTAACAGTTTATTATATTTACAGTTTATCTTGTATTTTTAATTTACATGAGCTTATTGTTTAATATGACTTTGTCATTTGGACATTCAATAAAAATATTTTTAGGATAATTTCATAGAGCTGAGACTCTGTAGAAATTTCAGTGCATACCATTTAGAGGCAGTTTTGTTTATCACTGTTTGTTTTCACGTCCCCTTAGGATACTCTAAGTAACCCAGCATGATTAATTGGGAGAGCAATTATACACAAATTTTGTATTCTGCCCACAGGCTTGCATGAAAGTACTTTCTGTCTTCCTTCGAAGTTCACATGTTTATTTTATTATATATCTGTATCAAAGTATTTATGAATTTAATTCATTATTATAGAGCTAAGCATGATATGATATAGATATTTTAATGTCAATGTTCTCACAACTTTATGTACTGACTGCCTAGAACTGGGCCTAATAGTTAATGTTAACAATATTATAACCGATATCACACAGAGGTAGTTCTGTTGAATTTTTTTAAAGATGTGATGTCTTCTTTTTCTGAACCAGTTTTGTGACAGCTCAGTTTGTGATTTGGTAAGGCAACATCTATGCTATGAATCAAAAAGTTTGTGACTTGGCACTCCCTGCCCAATTCTTGGCAAGTTTCATAAATGCAGAGTATTAAATGGAGTACCCTCATTGTTCCAGCTACCTGGATTTCCTGTAGCTTTAGCTTACTGAGAGTTTTTTCAGCTTTTCCTTGCTGCTGAAGAAAGATTATGTCTTGCCCTGAGTATGGGTGTTATTCCATAGGCGGTGAGGGGGTGGGAGAGAGCAGGTGAGTTGGACCTGCTTCCAGCTTGGTTAAAATATTCTGGGAACTTCAGATGGTATTGGAACAAATTACACCGGATAAGTTTACCACTTTTGCCAGGAAAGGAAACAGACCTTTTCTTCTCAGTTCCCTTAAAACTTACTTGCAGTACATTAAGTTACCTACGTATATGAAACCAGTAAGGTTTTTCAAATGTTTTGTTAGTTTTTATAATGGGCTATACTTGCTACTGAAGTCTAAAATTTTTTTCAGGGCTTGATATGGTTTAAGCTTTTGGCTGTGGGTATTTCGGGTGTTCTTTTTTTCTCTGTTTTACTTGTATTAATTATAATGAAGGATGTTGGAGGTAGAGAACAGGACACAGAACTGACCTAACAACACTCTGTAGAGAGATTTTTCTCCATCAGCACACATCCTGTTGTAGTACTTACTTTTAAGACAGCATTGCTGCTTCACCAAACATCCTCTTACAGTGAGAGGAGTAGGGATAACTCTTGGAAAAAGTTTTGAGGCTAGTGACAAAATATGTTTGTCTTTCAGATCCCCAGCTCAAGGGTATAGTGACCAGGTTATATTGCAGGCAAGGCTACTACTTGCAAATGCACCCCGATGGAAGTCTCGATGGAACCAAGGATGACAGCAGTAATTCTAGTAAGTGCCTGCCCCAGGGGGATGTGTTAATCGCACACGCAGATCGCATCGCTCGAACGTGAATGCACAGGCACCCTGTGAATGCCTGCCTTTGGAGGGTTTCTGAATGTGTTTTGTCCCGAGGAGGAGGGTTCTGTATGTTCCAAGCCTGATGACCACCAGCATGCCTCGTGCAGGACATTGGCCTAAATGTGTTGCCTCTGAAGGGGAAGGCGTAAGTGCTCATGGACCTTAGGAGGGAGATATTTAGGCCAATGATTGTCTTCTGGTAGTTTTATAAAAGTGGTAAAATTACATGAAAATAATTTTTTAATAAAAACTCTTTGACAAAAATTTCTTATCCTCCATTAAATAACAAGACATGGAAACTAAATTTTCCAGAAAAATCTGAATTTACAAGCAGATAAATTTATGCTGAACTATCAAAGACCTTCATAAAACACACACTAAATTACCTTGCTGAAGGTACTAAAAGTTCTGGGGCTAAAAATCCTACGCCAGCCAGAATTCCAATTGTGTTAAGAGATTTTCTGCCACTGTTGAGATAGCAAAAGTGGCAGTTTTTAAAAGTGTTCCAAACAAAAGAGGTCTTGAAAGGCCGTGTGGGTTGCTGCTTTGATATGCTTTTCCCATGATACTGCAACGTATTTTCGTTCAATGAGCATATATATTATGTTTGATAACTTCAGCTGCAAATGGTAATTAAACAAACCTATTCTTACTCTAGAAACAGTTGATTTTTGTTTTGTTTATTTTAATTATGACATATTTAAGTAACATTTCTGTGTCATCTTGAATTTTATTTTAAGCACTTTTAATACACAAGATTTATCTTCTTATTATGCATCCATAAATAACCCCTTAGTTTCCTTAAAACTATTGAAATTAGGCTGCAGAAATTAAGGTATTTGAGGTTTCTGCCTTACATTGGTAAGGTCCCTATTTTAATGGATGCACAGCTGTCATTTATAACACCTTTCATCAGCAGATAGCGTGATCATCTTTCATTGTTTGTTTTGGAGGTTTTTTTAATTGAGAAAAATTGGTTAATATATTTTTATGTGTATCTCTCTGCTTGTTTTCCCAAGTGTTGTTGTTCCCCTTCCATGCCCTCCCCATCCCACCCCCATCCTTGTTTCTTTTCTTCCCTCCGTGTCTCCATCACTTGTGCTCACTTCAGTACTGGAGTGCATACTAAGACCTTAAACAGGAAAAGTTAATTCTCACTTTTCATAGAAGCTCTGCCTAGATGAGGTCTAAGAACTGTCTTAGGGTATAAGTGAGTATCTCTTTCCCTCTGCTCATCTCTCTTATTTTCAGCTTCAGCGAGAAGGTGTGTATGACTGCAACAGTTTTGTAATGTTTTATTGTTATTTCTGAGAATTTTTTTAACTCTTAGATCTCTATGAGTCTTTTCAAAGCTACACCACAGTGCCTTACTTTTCTGTTTTTGATGTTGTCAGATTTACAAATTGTCCTCTTATTTTTTTTTAATTTACTCTTTCTCTCCCCTCTTCTGTGCATTTCTGATTTTCCAGCTCTCTGTCCAGCTCCCTTATTCTTCTTTTTCCAAAATACAGAATGAATATTTTGTATTAGAAATATTCTGAAATATTGAACTTCTCCAAACGCAACCAAATACTATATAGAAGTAATAATTTGTTTTAGTCCAAAATTATTTTTTGGCTAAAAAGTGTGGGGCTTTTTTCCAAAAAAGCAATTTTTTCTGTCTTTAGCTGGTAGGATTATTTTTTTCTAAACTACTTCAATTTTCCAATATATATTAGTAAAAACAGTTTGGAATGGAAGAATGCAAAATTAATGTGTTTGCATCTGAAATTTTGTTGGTATAAATGTATCAACACTGCATTAAGAGCTGAAAAGATTTACCTATTTGGTATATTCATTATTGTATGAATATGTGTTTGTTTCTTTTGTGTTGCCAGTCTTAGTTTTTTCCCTTTCCACTCTGTTGCCTTTCATCTCCTGTTGAACATTTTTTCCTTATTGCTTTTGTTTATTGCAGCATATGTTGTTTTTCCTTCTCTCTTTCACTTTAAAACAATAGTTTTCTCATGGATAGAATTTCTGGTGTTTTGATATTTTAGTTTGTGAGCTCCTTAACATGATAATTTCTGTCTGAGGCTTAAAAGTGACTCACTTTTGGCAGCTGTCCAAGGGAGAAAATCCTGCTTCTGACCATGGTGTTTGCAGGATGCCCACTTAATGTGGCCAGTGGGTGAAGGGATGGACTTGTATCAGCTAGGACAGAGAGAATACTTACCTGGATAGTGAGGATGACTCCCACTCAGAGTGTGTTCCATAAAAAAAAGGAAATACAGACTGCCAAAGGGTGTGCATCTCTGCCAGCCTTCCACCTGTCTTCTGCACTATTCACTGTCCCTGAAGAGAGCCCACTGAGTCACTGGGTGTCAGAGAAGCCAGAGGGGGAGCAAAGAGAGAAAAAAGATGCAATTTCTTTTTTGTCTTCAGCAAGGAAACTGAAGCTTAGTCATGCTGCTGCTTTCTGTGCTGTTGCCATATATTCTGTGTCAACCAGTTAGAGAAGTACTTGCAGTTAAAATTCCCTCCAAGTGCCTATATCATTTTGTACTCATTTTATATGTATGTCAGTAAACATAAGTTTTACTCACTTTTGGAGTCACAGTGTTATAGAGGGGTAGCTCAAACTAAGATTATGATTTGCTTCTATCTGAAGTCAAAATCAGTTGTGCCTGTGGTTTTAATCAGCTGCTCATTGCCCCAATTTGACTAAAAGTTGCAGACTGCAGAGAGAGATGACAACATTTTTAATGTATCACTGTGTGCAAACACTTGCACTTGAAAAAGAAAAAAAGACATGATGTGTAATTGAAACCCTGAATGTACTTTTGTCTGCTCATGTTGATGGCCATGATATTAGAACCCAGCCTAAACAGACCAACAGGTTTCAGTTCATTGCTGTAATTTCTTTTTATAACTTTTCCAAGATAATGATGTTTCATGAAACAATGGCAATTAATGCACCTATTGGTTATTGGTGCTGAGTTTCCTAAAATCACTTCACCAAATCCAGGCTGCTAGCCAAACAATCTTGTGTGTACAGTCTGCATTTATTTAATTTTCTTTGCCCCACTCTCAGTGATACCTTGTTTTAACTGCTTTTCTTTTTACATTTAATTTCTCTAATGCCCTTCAGTTTCTGGTTTGCTTTTGTGTCTTGCTTGTAGCAAAGGCAGGAGTGACTGTGGTTAAAGCTGTAGCTTTGGTTACTTAGGTCCTACTCAGTGTAGCTGTCCACTCTAATTTTCCTGGATTTTAGAGGGGAAAATGCAGCTCACTTCATTGGCCTCATCATTATTAATTAGGAAAAACAAGATACTACACAGAAATCATAAAGAGATAGAAACTATTTCCATATATGCTTGTAGTAACAAGCATTATATTCTCCTTCTGTCCTCCACACCTAAACCAGGCTTTGATCTATCTTCAAAGTTTTGTCTCATGAATGATGGGTAGGTTTAGTAGGAAGATAAATTAATTTGAGAAACAGACAATTCTAACTTTAATTTCGGAGATTGAAACCCAGAATCTTTCAGCTCTAGACCTTGTTTTAATTCATCTAGAGTGTATCTCAGCCAACAACCACTGAAAAAAATGCAACGTAAATGATGATATTTTCCTTTATAGATGACAGACCTGATTGAACACTCAAATGTTGCAATTTGTACCCCTTATGAAATTACAGTTGTGTTGATAACATATTTGTAATATTCTCTAATTAAAAGAGCATTACTCATTGGTAGTCTTATTTCATAAACTGATAAATTAAAATGTGAACATTATCCAAGAGACTTTGATTTGGCTGTGCTGTGCACATCTTTTATTATGCTGAAACATTCTTTACCTCCTCTGTGGTGCTTGTTACCTGGTAGAGTTGCTCTTCAGGAAATCCTGCAACCATTTAAGATTCCTTTATTTCACCGTTTAATGTATGCTTTAATGTTCTATTTATATCTTCCAAATTGAATGTGGAAGTATAAACTTTTTTATGTCTTTATAAAATACTTACCACTATCATATTTTAGTTTGAGGATACTCATAAAATAACCTTTGCAGCACCCTTATATGGTAAAGGAGATAATTAAATAGAAATAAAGCTCATAAGATTAGGAAAAAAACACCTGCAGTGCTGTTCAATTTGGATTAATGAATGTTAATTTTGGATTACTGCACTGAAATATCTGCAGCCTGATGCTTGCACTGTTTTTTATGGAAGTTTGTCTTCAAAGAATTATACAGGCATTTACTCATCTATTTACACCACCTCTGGGAGTTGGGTAAGCCTGTTTCTCCCAGTGGGATAATCTTAGTCTGACAGGTCAATGCTCAGTAATACTTAAAAAAAAAAAAAGTTTTAATTATTTCTTCTGTCACATCAGGCAGGTAGAATGGGTTTGCTCCATAAGAAATGAATGGACAAACCTCTAAACACCAAATTCCTTGCAGCCATTTGCCAATCTAAAAGATGTTTTGATGGAGTTGTCATTTTTGCCTGTGGGCCTGCAGATGAAAATAAATTGAAGAAATATTTGGTTTGATTTGACTGGAGATTTGGTGCTGTGGAAGGTTTTGTTAACTGTCACGAAGGCAGTGTGTGTGCAGATGAGGCTGCAAGTTCATAACTCTCCAGCAATTGGTCTGTAGCAAGATTCTTAAGAAAAACAGTGATCTGTAATGGCAATTTTCTGGTAGCTCAAGTCAGTTGCACCTAAATAGACTTTCACAAGTATATGGAAATGTCTGATTTCAGGCATTTCAGATTTCAAGTTAATGGACTGTGTTGATATAACATAAAAGAAGGAAAAAAAATCATGGTAGTTTTGTGTTTTGCTCAAGAAAGGAGTAATTTCTTATAAATAAAGTGGACTCAAACTTTTGCTAAAACTTTTTGAGGATTAGAATCCAACTCAGATTTGGAGTTCCTGCAAGTCTCCTCCATGAAACCTAAACAAATAACCCTTTTTCATGCCAATTGTTCCTGCTAACTGTCCCCACCCCCATTTTCTGAACTTTTTTTTGTGGTGGGAGTAGGCTTGCAGGCTTAGGAAAAGGAGGAGAACCCAAATGTTTTCTAGCTGTGGTTTAGATAGAATACAAAGCAAAGCTAAGGGAGTGTGCACAGTCTTAGCACTGAGAAGGAGGAAGGGTTTTACTTGCACCATTTTTGCCAATCAGTTCCCTTGTCTTCCCTGATGCTCCCACATCTTACCCTACATTTGGAATTGCCAGGCTTTCCACTTAAGCATGCAGCATGGAAACACTGAGCACCAGGCTTTGCTATATTTCCTGGGCTCTTGGAGGGTGCCCCCTCTCTCAGCTCATCTGTGGACTCACTGAACTGGCTTCAGGCACATAAAGATGTTCAGGGACCTCACTCCCCAGGTCTTGGTTTCAGAGAATTTTCTTAGAGAGGGAAGGAAGCAGGGGACATGGCTCTTTTTAGCAACCCCCTCAGATAAGAACATATATTGGGCTGTGCAGAACTGGAATGCCAGCAGACACTAGAAGGCTTTCAGCTTTTTTCAGAGCAGGTTTTTACTAGAGTGAGGTATAGCACAGGTGAATCCTAGGAATGTTTGAAATGTGTAATTGAACACAAAAGTCTTGCCCAGTGAAGAGTACTGCCCAGTCAGGTTCTGGAGGAAATCGAATTTCTTTCAGCTTGCTTCAAAGAGCATTAAGACCACACGCTGTGCCTTATTGGTGCATGTTTTGCTGTCCCCAGTATGAAACACATTGCTGAACATTTGTCAGTCAATAGCTGAATGTAGACTGGCCTCCCTAGTTTCACTCCAGTCTGAAGGATTCTGAGAAACTAATTGAATATTCTGAATGTGCAGAATTGCAGCATTTCAGGTCACACTCTAAAGTTTTAAGGGTTTAGACTAATTACAGGAGCTCTGAAAATCCCCAATTAAAATTTGGTGGCAGTAAAAGATGCACTACCTGCCCTCCACAGTGCTTTCTGAATTCACCAGCAACTATAAGCCACTTCAGTAACTTTACAGGCTGCACGTAACACTGCTGTGTTACAGGCCTGCAAGTCTTGTTCAATGGTGGTTGGATTTTTTTTCCTAGCTTTAGTGCTTTATTTTTATCAGTATTATGGCAAATAACATCTAAATTTCAGAATTTTTGACTGAACCACTATGACTAGGAGACATTTCATTAGCTAATTTCGTTCTCATGGCTGACTTGTCTTTTGTGTTCACCTCTTTTCTTTATATAAACATTGTTTGTTTTTCCTTCCTGGTGTCCCCTCAATTGTTTCTTCAGCCCCTTTAGCATGGTGTTCATAATACAGGTTTGCTCCTGTAATTTCTTCTAAGAAAAAATCCAAACTCAATTGCCATCTGATACTTAGTTTTGCTGTGACAGACTCCCCCTCCACAACCCACAACGGTGATTTTGCTGGTTTTGACATTGTTGCATTTGAGGATAATGGCATTCTAACTAATTTTTTACTTCCAAATTATATTGAACTAAAAGCCCTCAAGCCATGCAATGTTTAGCCTATATACTCTTAGGATATCTTTTCTGTGAGTGCCATATTTCGCTGTTTTGCATTTATTGGAGAGGGAAGCTTATCTGTACCAAATTTTTCTTTTTTTTGTCATATCCTAGCGTAATGGAGAATTTTGGAAATGAAAGAAATTAAAATGCTATTTATTTATGCTAATTCTTGTCCTATCTTATATTTTTTTGTAAACCTGCCAAAATGTTTTCATTTCTTCTAGAGCTCTTTTGAATATATTTTTCTTTCCACCGCTCTAGGAAGAACTCTGCTATAATCCTACCTTTAAATTGGCTTTGTGTATTCCTAAAATTATCTGATGTTACACATTCTTTTTCTGCGTGAAATGCCAAAGGAAAGGTGTCTCTTTTTTTATACTTGCTTATATTTCTAGTAGTCTACCTATGTTTTTTTTCTCATTTGTAAAGACTTGATCATATTCATCATAAACAAACTGTGGATTTTTGTCCTTTGACCAAACAGGAATTTTCACTCTCTGAGAAATGTATTTATCTACTGCAATTACATGATCCTTTTGCTCTTGATTTGGGCTTTAGCTCTGGCATTCTGATTACAGATAGCCTCATACAGTTCACTTTTTGGTCACACCTATGAATGTCCTTCGGTAGAATCATAGTTCCCACTGCACATGTTGAACAAAGAGGTTGTGATTTTGGTTTTCATCCAAGGACTTGGGAGCCCTTGGCTTATGCACAATGGAAAAACATTTAGCATGAACTCTGTCTCATCCAGGTCTTTTCTTACAAGATTGATGTGTGCTTTGCATCTAATTCTCTAGCATGAGTCAGTAAATGTAATATAGGTGTGTGCTGGCATAAGTTTTAGAAGAATTGGTTCATGCCACCTACTTATACACTTGTGTTTTTCTATGGTGAGGCTGGTAAACTCCCACTCTTCACACTGATCTTTTTTCAGACAGTAATCAAAGTTGTGGCTGTTTGGATTACTACAGAGGGATATAGTATTTCTAAGGTATTTGTTATTACGTGGTTTTCTAATTATTTTCTAATTATTACCCCAAGTTCTGTATTCAGTTCAATACAATTTATGCACATTTAGAGTCAAGTACATATTTCAGTGCTTTTATGAACTATGATAAGATTCTGTCATTACCTGACAACAGTGTCTTACTGCTTGTATCAAATAAATGATTCACAAAAGCAAAAAAAAAAATTGAAATCACAGATCCCTTGACATCAGTTTTAATGAGGGCACCTCTTAATCGAAAAACATTAAAATGCCCAAGAAAATAAAGAGCTGCTTGCCAGAATCAAAGAAGCAAGATTTTCTGAGATAGTCTGATTTTAAAAATATAAAAAATTATATAGGGACTATTTTTCTTTATTTTTTTGCTAATGATGCTTATTATACTATTGTATTACCCATAGCATATTTATATCTGGTCATGTTTTTTCTTCACAGCTTTATTCAACCTTATACCAGTGGGGCTTCGAGTTGTCGCTATCCAGGGTGTAAAGACTGGGTTGTATATAGCCCTAAATGGAGAAGGCTTCCTCTACACATCAGTAAGTACCCTGCTGATCCCTCTTTGGGAGGCACAGCTGAAACTGAAGTCTACAGGAATGAGACACATGTGCACTTTTAAGAAGTTCTGTAATGTCTGTATATGCTGCACACACCAAGCTTGTGTGTAGCATTATCTGTAAATGGGACACAGTAGAAATTACTGTGTGCTACGTATGAAAGTCTGAATGCTAGCAATCCTAAAAAAACACCATAGAGCTCTTTTCCTGGCAGGCTGTAGAGGTAGAGTGCCTTATGCCACAAAGATTATAATTTTCAATTCAATTCTTCAAAAATTTTAAATAAAGACCTGCAATTATTTTCTTAGTGACTTGTTGATCAGAATACAAAAAGCGCTTCAACCATTATTTTTATTGATAAGACCTATGAGTGCAACTTCCATCTAAAAGGTCATTAACAGCCTTATCGTTTACCACCATAATCTTGTAACTGTATGCATGTCTTATTGATTTTTTTATATCAGATATAAGGAAAATAAATAGTTCAGTGAGGGACTATTACCTCTGTAGAATGATCAAAATTTTTAAGAAGTCTTTTGAGGACTGCTGGATAAAGTGACTGGAAAGACCTCAGATTGTTTATGATATTTCAAATGATTTGATGCTAATCACTCAGTATGTTGTGAATATAAAATTCCTCAGTTTTGTATAAATTTAGGATCTTAACTTCCTTTGAAAGGCAAACAGATGTTAATGTGAACAGGCAGTTCTGTCAGGTATTAATAAGGTGGCTTAAAGGATTTTTCATTACTATATTTTTATTGACATCTGTGTTAAATTTATTTACATAGTGCTTTTCCCTTTTTTTACGTCACATAGTTCTTAATTCCCAACTGATTTACAATACACTGCTTTGTTTTCAATGTCTGTTGAAAGGAAATTGGAAAGATTAAGTTTCTGATGCCCTGAGGGAAAGTATTCTATTTGTTTCAAACATACAATTGTCTTGCAAAAGCTAGTTAGGAAGAAAAAATCGAACTAATCTTGGATGCCAATGTCAAGACAAAGAGAAAATTTCTCCTCATAAAATGCCTGCTGGAAACTCCAGCAGTATCATCTACATTTTTTTTACATCTGTTAAAAATAAAAATTCTATCACAGGAAAACATGCAATATTTGCTACCAGAAGGAAGAAAACGAAGAAAAAACCTAGAGCTATTACAGAAAATGAATTACTAAATTTCCAGTTCCATCACATTGTGGGGGGTTAATTTCTGGATCATGGCATGAAGATCATTTTTTTTATGTGTTGGCACAGTGAAGAGTACATTCTTGCCCAGCACTGTTTCTGGAGTGAGTTGTCAGCCCTCTAGAAAGAAATTCAAATTTCAGAAGATGTACTGTTTCATGATGGGGGACCACACATGTACAAATTGTGGTAGGCACTGTTTTTATGTATTATTTTGGAAATGATTCAAGTTAAATTAACTTAAGTGAGGCAAGGAAATGAGTGTTTTTATAATGTAATGTTTACTCTTCCTTGTGCAGAGAAAGATGAGTGGCCCATTAAATGACAAATTTGACACATTAGAAAACACAGTGGAAGACTTTGTTATGTCTGCAAAAAGATTTTCAACTTGAACTTTTGTCAAGTAGAAAAATAATAACATTTGATCAAAAAGTTAAAGGTAGTGGTTTACATCAGTGCTGTAATACAAGTTTGTTTGTTTCATATTAATCTATTGACAACACTGGAAATACATTTTTTTCTCAGCAATTGCTTGCTTTCGCCTTAAAGACAAATGCATTTGAGTATAAAATGACAAAGTATGAGAGAGAAATCTGTCTTCTCCTGAGGATCAAAATGAAGAAATAGTGTATGCAGAATTATATATCACCATTTGTAGAAAAATATTTTTAACCAATCACTTTCTGTTACTGTCTTGGTGGACTTTGGACTCTTTTTCACGTCTGTGTATCTGTTGCACCTAAATGCAGGAGTTCTGTATTACATGTCACATGTTTTTCCCTTGGCTATTTAGGAGAGAACGGGAGAAGAAAGTTTTCCAAGTCTTGTATGCCAACTGCCATCACTGAAAAAGACTGCTACATAATGGGAATGATAGTTAAAATGTACATATATTTATATTTATTACCAATTTCTTATAAAGATTTAAAAAATGGAACTATGCCCTTTGTACTAAGTAGGATTTTTAGTCCAAGTTGAGACTGAAGTTCTGTATAGTCCTTCTCTGCAGAAAAGCTTGGTGTCCCTTCTTCCATCACATTCATATGCACAGTATATGAAACCTGTATCTTGTGAGAATAACTTACATGCTGATGCCTCTCTTCAGAGACTGAAGGCCCCAACTCAATTATTTTTATCATAAGGTTCACATCACATTGAGTAATTAAGCAACAGCACTGACAGGAAAAGTATTATATGTGAAGCTGCTGTGTGTTCTTTAAGAAGAAAACGAAGGTACAGTGACAGACTAGTTTTGCATGCAAATTATCAAATGAAAATTTAAATTGTTTCTTGCCTTTTTAAAAATCCTTTTTTTAATGGTTGTTTGCATCAGTTTGAGAGTCACTCTTCTTTCCCCTTTATTCTGCCGGTTTTAAGATTTTTTTAAGTATTTCTCAGAATTAGAACTAGAAAAATGTGCAGAAACTTCATAGAAGAGTGTTATGTCAGTATTTCTTGGAACAGAAACAGGAGGACAGCAAATTCTGTAGGAAGATCAGCCTCAAGGGCTTTTCATACCTATTTTGCCTGTTGCAACACTTGAGATTTGTATTCTGTCCATTGAGATTTGATTGAGCCAGGGTCTCTAAAATACACTATCAAAGTCTTGTCAAATAAAGGAGAAGAAGAATCATTGGAGTTTGATCGGGTTTTTCAAAATTTCTGAGAGAAATTTTCCAAATTTTTTTCCAAAATCATAGCCTGGTTTTTTTCTATGCATTTAAAGTAATTATTGTAATACCATAATTATTTTCTGTCATATAAAAGATGAGAAAAAGAGCCTTTTCATGTTGTGTTTTTCCTTGTTCTTTTAAGGGTTAGCTCACTTAAAGGCTATCCATAAAGCTCACCTATTTTGAAACTTGGGATTGCTGTGTCCAATTTTATTTCTCAGAGTGTGTATATTTACATATACTTATATCTGTATATCGATATACATCTAATCATAAATAGGATATATTTACTGGCAGCTTCCCAGTTCTACATGTAGGTTAGTGAGCAAAGAGAATTATAAAAGTGAGTAGAAATTTATTTTAGATGGTTTAATGAACTGTGAATAATTTAATATTTATGACTGACTAAATAACTGTGAAAGCTAGTTGGAGAATCTGGAATCTTCCACAAAGAGCCATCTCAGTTACTAGCAAGAATTCTGAAACATTAGTTATATTCATATGTTAAAGTAAAAAATTATGCCTTATTCCTTTCTTCCTTTTGAAAGGTGAGCAAGATGAGGTTTCATTTCCAGGTTTTGTCTTGTCAAAATCAAAAGGAATTAAACTGGCTCCATGCACTGAAAAAGGGAGCACAGCTGCAGGGATTCTCCATGGGGAACAGGTATTGCCTGCAGCAGGAAGATGGCAGTGCAGTACTTGGCAGAAGCTTTTGTTGGGTTTGATGTTAATTTTGATCAACTCCCTTTGCAAGTGGTTCATTAGTTCAACTTCCAGGGGGCTGCAGATTTTGATTTGCTTCTAAGATTTCCTGCTATCTTAGCAGGATGAATTCAGAGATGAAATTTATAATATGTTAGTCCATTTTGTGATCTTCTGGGTTTACATCAATGGATTTTTCTACAGAATTATTTGGTATATCTGGGAGTGTTTGGAAGGGCTACTGGTTCCTTTTTCATCGTAGGAGCAGTTTGACATGACCACCTGTATTTGGTGGGTATCAGAGTAAGAGAAAAGGGAAAATCCAAAGTATAGACAAGGAAAAATCATGTCTAAAACATCTTAACGTGCTTGTGTTTTCTTCTTTGTGTTTCCTCTTTCACCATTTCTTCTGCCAATTTTCTGAGACCAGAGATGTGGACTAAACCAGAGAGGAAAGAGTACGTCTGTGATATTGCCCAGCAGCAGATATCAAAGTCGTAGGAATTCACTACATGGTTTCTTAGTAAGACTGATACTTTAAAGGATGACCGAGCCTGCAGAGCCAGGTCTGACCTCCCTGGTCCCTTCTTCCTCCAATGTCCACTGTGGGGTAATGGAAACCTCACTGGAAGGATGTAGAAAGTACTGGAGAGGCATGGCTGCATTTCTGGGAGGTTTTACCAACTTTTTGTGAAGTATTTCAGAATTAGCAATGTCACTCTACTCACTTAACAGAATAATCTTCTTGTGAGGCGGGGATTTGTTTTTTTGATCTGCCACAGTACACAGTGTTGAGGGTGTTGAAAGGGTTGGGGCAGCGTTTCTGTTGCAGTAAGATATCAGTCTGTGTCACAGCCTTCTTGAAAGAGAGAGAACATCAATATCTGTTGCTGAGCAGTGTATTTGTTCTATCGCTCCGGCAACTCTCACCTGAAAAAAAAGCCTTTGAGGATTTCTCCTGACATTTCAGCAGCTTCCCAATGCCGTTATTTCTGCCACTTCTTTAAGCCCACATAATTGACCTCTCTGAGGAGAACAAAATTCAGCCTCAAGGAAGAACATAGGAGCACCTTCAGTGAAGCCTGGGAAAGAGTGAGAACTGAAGTAGTCTGTATTTCTAATATTCAAATCAAAGTCAAATGAAAAATAAATTTTGTCTAGCTTCTCACAGAGCCTCACTTTATGCTTTGGAGTAGCAAAGCTTTGCATGTGCAGTACTTTGAAGGTTCAAAGGTGCATAAAACAGAGCAGAAGGGAGTTTAAACTAGACAAAACCAAAGAGGAACTGTGATGTTTTCAAATTTTAAATTTTTTACAAGAAAAATCAAAAAGGGGTTAATGTTGACATGAGGACAACATTGTTACAGCAGTAGTTGACCTATGTTTTGGCAAAGATCATTCTCCACCTTGCCAAATAT